GACCTTGAAGGCATCAAACTATGAACACGGAAAATGTGGAAAATAATCCTCAGTCAACCACCAAGAACAGTTATTTAAAGGGGAGAAGATGCTGCGAGACAATATACTCAGTCTGTACTACCTTGGTGTAACCCTGCAGTCACAGAAACATACTTTTTACTGTGACAAACAAAAATCTGTTGCCATCACGGATCCTTCTTGCTTCAAATACCGGCTAGGTTGCTGTTTAGGATGGTCTCACACCCAGAGCTTTGCTGCCTCGGTTATGAAAGTTCATTTACCCACGGGACTGCTCCCTGGACATCGAATTAGGGTGTGTTTTTTTGGCTAAGGGGTTAATGATGCACAACCTCAAGATTACAGATGCCCACATAATGGAGACATGCCAACATATCAAGAACAGTAATATGAACTTAACTAAGCTTCTTGTTGTTTAAAGAACAAAATCATCCCCCAAAACAACAACGACGACCCAAACTAAAAGAAACTACCTTCATTTTAACAGGTGTGAAGTCCAACATGACTTTCCTACAAAAACAGTCAGATCACCAAGGACACTGTTACTTCAATGTTAATGTTAGGGGGGGGAAATGATATTTAGTACCATCAGAACCCTAAACTGTGTTGAGACATCAGCTGGTTTTGTGCTTCTGAACTTACTCTGTCACCGGTTTCCTCCAGAGAACAACTGAGCCATAAGCTATAGGTTCCTGCTTCAAGAGTTTTTGTGAACAACCATCTCTCTGGTGATTAGACAGACACATCAGTCTCCTAAATCAGGCAAATATTTGATGCCAAAATTGCATCCAGGCAGGATATAAACTCCTTCTTTGAAAATACATAATAACCTACCTAAGTAGAGCTTGAGGGCATTTTGTTTCTTACAATTTTTTTCTTTCTCAAAGTTCACTCACAGGAAATGGTCTCTAATTTATAAGCTTATGTACAATACGACGAGAAAGTGGGCAATGGTACATAATGGTACGTAAAATATAATTAAAAAGTTCCTAAATGTCAAGACATTTAAAGCTGCTGCATGTTGTTCTGCTAAATCAAACTACACTTGCAAAATCTGTCCTAATAGCTAAAGTCTCTTGTGTTTTATTTATGCACCTGTAGAAAAGTGTCTCTGTGCACTGATATGAGTGAGGAGATGAGTGCTAAGTTACCTCTAAAAAGTTAATGTGTAGAGTAAATAATGTGGGATCATTCTTCCTACCCAAACATATCCCAGATGCTACAGGGACTACGCTGTGAGACAGAACACCAAACACAGAAAAGGTCTGCAGCACAGAACTGACCTCAGTTCACCTCCCAGCACTGCAGGAATGTCCAAGATATGCAGGAGAAATGAGTGTTACGTGATGGGAGAATATCGTAGTATGAACTCAAGAGTCTTGACTCAAAACCCAACAGCTACCAAAGGAGTCACTTTAACTTCCACGAGAAACTGTTTCCGTGAGAATATTCTTAAGGAGAGGCTCTGCCTTTGCACAGGGAAAGCTTTGAGTTTATGCGAACCCAGCAGCTGCCCAGGATGAAAGAAGGGGAGCACCCTCAGCCCTGGGAGGCAGGTGGATGCTGCAGATTTGGCCAAAGGTGCGAGCCCAGGGCCCTGGAGCAAGAAAGCCTAAACATTTTGTCACACAACCCTCCAGTTCCAGGCCACCAGCAGCCTGGGCACCTTGCCCCTGCAGCAGGAACATTCCATTTCGCAGTGATGCTGAGGGGACTTGAACTGATTCCACTGCCTGTAACAGCCTTTGTATTTTGGTGTTTTTTTTTCTGGATTTTATCCTTTCTGTAGTTGTTGTGAAAGTCTGACCTCAAGAAGAAGTACAATTCAGAGTTCCACTTTTTAAATGCTTTCCCAACACCACAGTTGATTACTTAGGCAACTTGTGGAAGGAAATCCTCTCTGAACCACGTGAATAAACCTGAATAACCCCAGAGCAGCACACACAAAAAAAAAAAAAAAAAGGTAAAACATACATTAAGTGAGAAGTACAACATACTTAATATGTCCTCCCCTTGAAAAACACAGATTCCTGAACAAGAGCAGCACAAGCAATGCACGTCCAAGACATGTAGGAAGGTGCAAAAGAGCCACATCCCAGAACCACAACAAGCACCAGGAACGGAAATGCCCATTTAGTTCTCACCCAGAAGAGCTGCCCACAGATAGCCAACAACTGACTTGCAAATCACACTGCAAAAGGCGTGGCCCTTATGTGACACCAGCGATTCACATTAACCCAAGTCTGATTTCCAAGAGGCTCCCAGCAGAAAAAAAAAAAAAAAAAAAGGGGGACAGAGGACACAGACAGAAGGGAGGAAGGTGTAAGGTGGGTTAGTACAATACCTTCTGACTGTGATGGCTTGAACTTGGTGAGAATCGCAATGTCATCTTGAAAAGGAAAAAACACTTCAGTAAGAACCAGAAGTAAAAATCAGTTTTAACAAGAACCTGTTTCATAGTTCTCCTCCATCCCTTAACAAGACAGCCACTATATATCCAACAAAAGAATAGGTCCTGGATGGCAGAGACTGTGAGCTAGACAGAAATCATGGAACAGGCTCCTCTTGGAACACCAACATTCACCTTTTTGTCCAGTATCACTTTCCCGTATCAGCAGCAGGTAGGACATAAGAGTTTCTGCCAGTCAAGAAAATGCCTCTAAAATTCTTCACAAAATTACAAGTTCTCATCTAAAGGTGGGAGTGAAACAATAACATTCTGGTAAAAATACTGCATTTAAGGGTATGTCCTTGTTCCTCAACACTACATGCTGTTTATGCACATAAACAGATTCTACAAGTGTCTGCACTCCAAGAACAAGGGCAGTCAGTAAACTAAGGGACTCTTCACTAAAAAACGTTTCTGTACAAATTGCAGGCACTCCTTGAAGCGTTTCTTTTGTTCCAAAATTAACTCCAGACCAACTCTGCGACCATCAAAACTCCCTAAAATTGTTTCAGACATTTACCATTTTAGTATCTGTTCAAATCACAGGCCTCCACGGACACGCCCACATCCCAGCTGAAAAAAATGCCTCTTTCCCAATGCAACTGTTGCCTTCCACAGCCTCCCAGTTCTTCACTCAGCTATTCGCAATCCCCCAGACACGTGTGCCCTGGGAGTTTGCATGTTACTGGAAATAAGCAAGCTTCACACGGCCTGTAATTCTGCAGCATTAACATCTGCTGTCCCAAACTACGCCCAACCACAGGGCAAACCCACTTAGAAGCTCCTGCCGTGCCACCCCTAAGAATTACAGCCCATTTCCACTTCAATTACAGGCCAGAACAACAGTAATTCAGAGCAGAAATCAACGTTCAGTACCGGACACTGCAGAATGTAATCAAGACTGTGATTTCACCTCTTAAAACATAAGGAGTTTACCCACAAAAGAAGAAGAAGAAAAAAAAAAAGGTACTTTTATTAGTGCAATCTTACGATTTCTGTAACAGGAATGAAAAAAATGGTTTCTTGTGCAATGAAATGATTAGTCATTCTACAGCAGTTTAAATCTGTTCACAGTGCCAGGTTCACTTTGTTTTTCTACAGGGCAAAACAGAGGATTTAGGAGAAGACAGAAGTGCCCGTGGTCAATGCTGTTGCAAAAAAGCAACGATGCCATTGTAAAAACAACACCGCCCATAGCCCCCTGTTTTCTGAAAGCTGCAGCAAGGAAGATGACAATCCCTGTTACTTCAGCATCCCTCAGTAAGTCAGGGTCTGCTGAGAGATGGCAAAGAAAAAAGCTCAGCTGATGCCCTGGTTGTAGATGCTGCAGTGTGGCACAGCTCAGGCTCTGCACCATTAAAGAAAAGAGCAAGAGAAGACCTTTAAGTTTTCCTTTTCCTCCAGTTTCTATCACCCTGATTCATCTGCACCAAGCAGGGCTCTCGACAGATGTGCTCCTACCAGCAAAAAACGTTAACAGATTGGGTGCTTCCAAAACCAAGTGGCAGCTGAATAGACATCTTCAGGGATCAAAATTTTCCTTTTGCTGCTTAAACTAGAAAATAATCTCCATTTGCAGACGTAAGACCTCTGACAGAGCTATTCCAAAGGCAAAGTCAGAGACAGGATTCCCAGGCAGGAGTTGATAACGTGCATTGTTCAGGAGCAGTAAGGCAGTATCAGTTCTGTCCTGCTCTTACTTTCAGTCTTGTTCCCAAAATACTGCTTTCATTTATTTCCACAATTTGCCTTGGCCACAGTAACAGCATCCTTTTCAGCCAACAAAACCCAAGCAGTTCAAAAGAGCTTTTCAAGAGCTTTGACCCTGTTCTGCACATCTGACACCTGTGGCGTATTAGTTCATAAGCAAACATATCCTTAGAGCAAAATTTTGATGATCCAGGTAAAATAAAAAACAAATAAACCAACCAAAACCCTAATAAATCCTGAAACTTACACTGCAGTTGTTATGAGGCAGCTACTTTGTACTACGAAGAAAATTCCCAATACTCATCCTTAACAAGCCATGAAAGAAAATTTTATTCCTAGACGTCTTGAAGTCACCATGTTAACAAACCCCTGCCATTAT